GGACCCACGCTTCAGCAACCCGCCTGCTCGACCTCGCCTGGGCCCGCCTTCCCGACCTGCCCGCTATGGGTCTGCCCACCCGATCTGCCCGCCTGGTTCTACCGTTTGTTCCCTGCTCCATGCCCCCCTCCTGCTAATTTATCCCGTAGTCCATTCTTCTCCCTCCCCATTCCGCCCGTTATCTCTTCCCTTGTTTTAGGGGCTGCACTACATGCACGTGGCAAGTAAGGAAGATGTTGAATACTCATTTCTAGAGAATAATTATTGATGATGTCCGGAAGCGGATCTGCGCGCTCTCGCCTGTACGCCGGCTACATATTCTATGAAAACGAGGCTCCCGCTCGAGCGTTGGCTTCAGCCTGAATGTGGGCCCTTGGAGGCCCAGCTGCGACGACAACGGCTCCCTCTCGATACGGCCTCACAATTTGCCCGGAAACAACCTGGCCAGAGGCCCCCGAACTCAGGAACGGCGCTCTCGCTCGAGAATTCCTCGCACTTTAATCAGTGGCCGACAAGGAAAAGATTCCCCCGAAAGGGGTGCAATCGAAGACGAAATGGGCGGTTATCGAGGGATGGTGTATACGGAATGCAAGACACGCGTGCCAGTACGAGCGGACAAGGTTTGAATGATTATTGTTGTTGTTGTTGATGTTGTTGTGTTTGTTGTTTGTAAGTTGTTGCTTCTTGTTGTTGATTGTCGTGTCCTCTTTGTTGTGTCTTATTTGTTGTCGTCGTCCCACCCGCGACCCGGCCTGCGATCCACCCGCAACCGCCCCGCGACCCTCCCGCGAACCGGCCCGCAACCCGGCCTGCGACCCAACCACGACCCACCCGCGACCCACCCGCGACCCACCCGCGACTTGGCCCGCGACCCAACCCCCGACCCATCCGCGACCCACCCCGCGACCCAACCCGCGACCCACCCCGCGACCCACCCACACTGCTTTAACGCAACTGCGGGGTGCTACGCGTGTATATATATATATACACACCTATACGACCACCCTTCGAATGATAAGGGGGTTCGGGGGGGGAGGAACCAACGTCTCACTCGATCGGTCTCACTATCGATGTCACTATCGATCTCACTATCGGCCTCGCTCGATCTCACTCGATCGATTTCACCATCGATACCACTCGATCTATCTGATCGATCTCACAATCGATCTGACGATCGATCTAACAATCGATCTCACTATCGATCTCACTATCGATATCACAATCGATCTCACGTTCGGTACCACTATCGATCTCACGATCGATATCACAATCGATCCCACAATCAAGTACATCAGCATCATCAACGTCATCGCCATCAACGTCATCAACATCATCATCATCATCATCATCATCATCATCATCATCGTCATCATCATCATCACCAGGACATCATGGTCATCCCCTCACCACCATCATCACCAACATCATCATCATCATCGTCACCATCATCCATCATCGTCACCATCATCATCATCATCATCAATGCAATCACCATCGTGGCACCATCATCATCATCAGCATCGGAGGGACACCATCATCATCATCGTCATCATCTCATCATGATCATGAACAACATCATCAACATCATCATCATCCTCGGGACGCCATCGCCATCACCATCATCAGCAACATCATCCTCCACATCATCATCGGGAAACCATCATCACCGTCACCATCATCATCGACATCATCATCAGCGGGACACCATCATCATCAACAACATCAGCATCATCATCACCATCATCGGGCCACCATTATCAAAATCATCATCACCACCTCATCAGCATCGTCATCATCAACATCATCAGCATCACCATAAGGACACCATCTTCGCAATCACCAACATCACCATCCTCGGGACCCCATAATCATCACCATCATCATCATCAACAGCTTCGTCATCAACCTCATCATCACCATCATCATCGGGACACCATCATCATCATCATCTTCATCATCTTCATCATCAGCATCATCCTCATCATCTCATCATCTCACCACCATCAACACCATCAGGACCAACAACATAATCATCGTAACCGGGGAACCATCATCATCGTCAGCTACATCAGCATCATCAACATCATCATCATCGGGAAACTATCAACATCATTACCATGGCCATCATCATCACCATCATCATCGTCAACATCGTCAACATCACCATCATAACCATCATCATTATCATCATCGGGACACCATCATCATCACCACCATCACCATCAGCATCATCATCATCAACATCATCGACATCATCATTATCATCATCATCATCATCATCATCATCATCATCATCATCAGGACACCAACGGGACACCGGCGGGACACCGGCGGGACACCGCGGGCCACCGGCCCCCGGAAAGGACACATTTCTGGCCGCGCCTCAGCCGCAGGCAGGACACTGGCGGGCCACCGCGCCCCACCGGCCCCCGGAAAGGAAACATTTGGTCCGGCCGCGCCTCAGCCAGAGGAGACTTTCTTCTCGCCCGCCCACGCAGCTTCGCCTCGCCCGCACGCACGGCACGCACGAACACGAAACCGAAACCAATTTCCAGGTAGGGGGGCTCTCCGGTCCGCTTCGATCTCACCCCATCACCTTCGATCACAATCGATGTCACAACCAACGTCATCATCATCATCATCATCAGCATCATCATCATTATCATCATCAACATCATCGTCATCAACGTCATCAACATCATCATCATCATCATCATCATCATCATCATCATCATCATCATCATCATCATCGGGACACCATCATCGTCATCACCTCATTCCCATCATCATCAACATCATCATCACCATCATCATCGGGACACCAACATCGTCACGATCATCATCAACATCATCATCATCGGGACACCGTCGCCATCATCATCGGAACACCACCATCAAGATCATCATCATCACCTCATCATCATCATCATGAACAACATCATCAACATCAACATCATTATCGGGACACCAGAATCATCATCAGCAACATCAGCATCATGAACATCATCATCATTATCATCGGGACACCATCATCATCGTCACCATCATCGTCAACATCACCATCGTCATCGGGACACGATCATCAGCATCAACATCAGCATCACCAGCATCACCATCATCGGCCACCATCATCAAAATCATCATCATCACCTCATCATTATCCTCATCATCAACATCACCATCATCATCTGGACACCACCATCGTCATCATCATCATCATCAACATCATCATCATCGGAACACCATCACCACCATCATCATCAACAGCATCATCAACAGCATCATCGGGACACCATCATCACCATCATCATCAACAGCATCATCTCATCATCATGTCATCATCATCAACATCATCATGATCATCGATCTCGTCATCGTCACCATCGGGACACCATCATCAACATCAGCAACATCATCAATATCATCATCATTGGGACACCATCATCATCACCATCATCACCATCGTCATCATCACCATCGTCAAAATCATCATCATCATGATCATCATCGGGACACCATCATCATCACCACCATCACCATCATCATCATCATCAACATTATCGAAATCATCATCATCATCATCGTCGTCATCATCATCATCTTCATCATCATCATCATCAGCATCATCATCATCATCATCATCATCATCATCTGGACACCGACGGGACACCGGTGGGACACTGGCGGGACACCGCGGGCCACTGGCCCCCAGAAAGGAAACATTTGGTCCGGCCGCGCCTCAGCCGCAGGCGGGACACCGGCGGGACACCGCGCCCCACCGGCCCCCGGAAAGGAAACATTTGGTCCGGCCGCGCCTCAGCCGGAGGAGACTTTCTTCTCGCCCGCCCACGCAGCTTCGCCTCGCCCGCACGCACGGCACGCACGAACACGAAACTGAAACCAATTTCCCGGTAGGGGGGCTCTCCGTCCCACTTCGATCTCACCCCCTCACCTCCGATATATATATATATATATATATATATATATATACATATGTATACATATTTTATACATGTATGCACTGGTTTCCTATCATAGCGCTCCTTGCCGTTTTCCACCTCTCAAGTGTCCATCCACTTTAGCGGTAGCACCCTATGCCCGTCCACTACCGTCGAGGGAAAAAACGTTGCATCATGAGCCGGGGGACCACTTTCGAACTCCCCCCCCCGCAACCCCCCTGCCTTTCAGGCCAGGGGGGGGGAATTCGGTGCTCTGTCGTCGGAGCGTTGTTGGCGCAAAGTCTTCCTCCAGCCGCATCAGAGCGAGCCTGCGCCAGTCGGTGTGCTCGAGGCTGGGGCGCCCCCCCGGCTGTGCTGCTGCCCCTGCCCTGCCTGGCTCTGCACCCTCTGGTCTTCCAGGGTCCTCCCTCGATCCTGGGGGGGTGCAATCCTCCTCCTCCTCCTCCTCCTCCCTCCTCCTCCCTCCTCTCTCCCTCCTCCCTCCTCCCTCCTCCTCCTCCTCCTCCTCCTTCTTCTCCTCCTCCTTCTCCTCCTCCTCCTCCTCCTCCTCCCCCTCTTCTTCCGTGAGGTGCTGCCCCTGCCCTGCCTGGTTCTGCCCTGCCTCTCTCTCTCTCGCTCTCGCCCTCGTGCGCTGGGGCCCTTCATGCGCCTCGACGGACCGGCGGACCGAGGAGGAGGCACAAGAGTAGCAAGATCGTGGAGGGGCCCTGGGACACACAAATGAATACACACAGAACAGGACACACAAATAAATACACACAGATAACAGGATTCTCCATATTTTCCCATAGTTTCTGGGTTTCTGTCTTCCCCCCCCCCCTTCCCATAGTTTCCCAGATTTTCCGGGGAATCGACGATTAATTGTGTCTGTGTGTTTTTCCCCTCCTGAGATCAATCAGGAAGACGGTGGGAAGGCAGGGGGGGAACAGGCGCTGGAGGACTCGATGTGGAAGAGAGGAAGAATGCTAAGGCAGATGGGGGAGGGGGAGAGGCAGCAGGGAAGAGATCGGCGGAACGGTCTGCGAGAGCTGCGCGTGCATC